TCTCCAACGCAATAATACCTCCAAAAACTAAAATTATCTGGTTTTTTAAAAAAATTACTTTGCCTAGCACATTTAAACAAGCAGAAAACATGCGTATTTTTTTTGTCACAAAAAAAAAAATCCATAACCTGGGCTTGCCTTAGGGACCTGGATTTCTGTACTACTACATGTCTATTTTATTTGAGTCAACAGTCCCAATGTGTCAATGTTATGTCAATTCAAAATCATGTCTTATTATTATTTTATAGGCAAACATAGGACTAAAAGACATAGCAGATAAAGCATGCAAAGAATTGACATCTGTACACTTGGTCTGTGTGAAAAATTTATAGTAGGGGAAGTTGGAAATCAGAGTTTCCTAGCAATTTGTGCATGCTGTTGGGAACCTGGAAATTTGGTTTTAGTCTTAGCACTGACACAACTCGGCCCCATTGAGTCATAAACAAAACTCCCACTGACAGACAGGGTCAGAGAATTGGACAGTAACTTCATGTTCTGTGGAAATAACTTACAGGCACATTCTGACACTCCAAAACACATTCAAAGTGCCCTTTAAAACTTTTGCTGAAGTTGGATCTAGAGTTTAAATTTCAAGGAGCCCTGGCTATGTGAAAGGTTGTCTACCACCACAAAGCTCATGTCAGATTATGATCTGGGGGATGCTGCTACATTACAAAAACAAAAGTAATCATACTCACTGCTGACAATGGGTGATGGAACCTGGCCCTTCATTTATATGCCTTAATTTCTACAAAAATGGGGACAATAATCTTGCCTAGTTCATAATGGGTGAGGATTAAATAATAGACATTTATACAGTGCTTTACAAATGAACATTATATAAGTGCTAAGTATTATGATATTAACCAAAATGTCACTACATCTATATGACCCTACAAAGCAAAAAAACTTTCAGTATAATTTTTTTCACATATTTCCAAGTCAAGAAAAATGAGCCATGAAGTCAACTGGCTATTTTGGTACAAATGAATGAAGCATTTAAACTTATTTGACAGTATTTAAAAAAAAAAACCAGAATCTATTCTTAATCTATTCTTTCCATTATAAAGGTGCCCATTCAAGGCATGATGCCTTTTTTATAGTCTTGCTTATAAACATCATTATTCATTTGTCATTCGTTCAAGTTTTTTTTCAAATACCATACAAATCTTCTGAGAAAGATTCTTTAGCAATCCACATATGCTAAATGGAGGCCTCCTTCAAGGAAATTCTGCTCAGTGGCTGCTGTTTTGATGATCTTGGAAATCCCACTTCTCAAATCAAAGATTACACAAAGATCAGGCTGGATGATGGTGGACAGTAAATGAGGCTTGGCATGCCTGAGAATCTCAAACAATTATGATACTTTTAAACTTTAATAAGCACCTCAGGACCATGACTATGTTTTCTTCAACCTCCAACCTACTTAAGAGAACAATTAAAAGCAAAAACAAAACAAACAAACAAACAAGAAGAGACCACACATTAACAGAGATGGAGTAGATGCTTTGGTCCAAATCCCAACTTGTATGGATCACTGGAGCTCCACATGATGAATGGAGCCACAGTGACTTACACTTAGAGAAAAGTCCAGTCCAGTACATGGTAGGCCAGGTAGGATGCCTCATTTCTTCCCAGTGATGTAAAGATGACAAGAAGAGGAGGTCACCTGTGCGTATCATCCAAAACAAGGCAAAGCTTTTACACCCCCAGCAATGCAATTGGCCCATTCAAGAAAGCAAAGCAGAACCAGTTTTGGCAACAACCCCTACACAGTGCAGCTTTTCATTTCCTTTCATGCTAAATGAAAAGCAAGAGCAGCATGAATCACCTTGGTAGATTCCCAGCAGCACCCTGCCCATCTCCCCAGGCTGAGCTGTGGTACCTCCTTCAAAGCATCCTAAGTTGATAAATCTTTCCACCTTCTTCCCTTCTGTGGTAGAGAGCGAGACTGTCCTTGAGACATCCACTGAAAGCACTCAGAAAAAAACTAAGAATATTTAATTCTGGAAAGATGTATGCTACACTACCAGCCTTGTTTCATCTTAGCAGGGAATTGTATTCATGTTGCCGCTGTGTTTTGAATACCATAAAAAAGTAAAATTTCTGAAAGAAATGTACGGGCATTTTTTGCTGTGTTCGTATCTAGTAGAATAACAAAGGCAGAAAGTTATTCCTTCCCATACAATGTGGATGCATCCTGTATGTGTATCCTGTAACATTTTGAGATTGGTAGCACTTCTCAGCATCTCACTTGGATGTCTGAGAAAATTCACATCCCAACCCTACAACTTCAACAAGTTCACTCTACGGAATTATTTGAGGATAAAAATCACTCCTTTCTGAAAGTCCTGCATTGTTTTGCAGGACTTCAAATTAAACATGTAAGCCTCTCTCAAATTCTCAGAAGAGGATTTGAAAGGCTAACAATTAGATTAGAGGTACAGATAACAAGCAGTCCCCATTCAGTCGATAGCTCTATGACTTTGGTCTTCAACACCGTGTATCTAATTCTCCTTCGATGGCTGTGGGTGTCCAGTACAACAAGTTACTTCCTTTAGCCTAAACCATCTTTGTACTAATGTTTATTATTTTTCAGATCTGCATTTTAGAAGTGCTAGAACCACTCCAAATATTGCTCATTCTAGCCAGAATTTCATGCATCATCATGAATAACATTTTACTTTCCAGACAATGTTTTGTTTCAATAAGAAATTGTTAGTTGCCTGAGATTTAGTCTGTATTTCTCAGCAACAAGTATTCATATTCTACCTTCATATTTTGGCCTTGCTTTAAAAAGGTACTAGACTTTCACAGAGAGGTAAAAAAGGCAGGCAACTTTTATCAGCCCCAGCAAATCCAAGACATTAACTACTTCTCACATAATAAAGAGAAGGGAAATGGCACAATTTTGACGTTCCAGAAATTTTGTTTGCTAGAAAATATCAGAATTTGAAGGAGAAAAAAAAAAAAACACAAAAAAGAAGAAAAGTCTCTAAAAATTATCCTAAGCATGAATTTTTGTTCTACAGTAATATTTTGGATTTGATAAATATCAGCAAAAGCCAAAACTAGTAATGGATTGCTAAATGAGACATAAAAAGCAGGCCTAATAATGGTGCTATTCAGAGGATAACCTTCCATGAACACAGACCTTGGTAGTGAAGGCAACAAATAACTATCTTGTTAGACGAAGACAAGACCACTATTTGTACCTTCCTCTCTCCTCCCCAGCAAAAATTTTTTAGAAAACCCAAACCAAATTAGAAGTGAATAACAGAAAATAGTAAAACTGGGGAGGAGGGTCAGTAAACTCAGACGCTTTGGTAATACAATTTAAAGGACTTCCCTGCTCTCCATCCTTGCTGGATTTGTAGTAGTTTCTTTGCTTAAGCATTAGTTTAATACTTGGTGTCCAAATCACAGGCAAAAATTAAAATGGCCAAATATTGAACTTGTCCTCTTCTACAGAGCACTTCTATGGGTTGTTTTAACTTTTTTGGATTTGTTGTTGTTTTGCTTTTTTACCTAAAATCATGTGAAAGTGTCATACAGATTTTTCAGCTTGCTTCTGAGAAATATGGCACATTAAGTTGACTAGAAATCATAGTGTCTCCCTTTTCCCACATGTGATACATATAACTTTACCCATTCCTAGAAGACTCGGACTGTCATTTTGGCAAGGAGCTGCAATGCACCAGTCTGAGCATAAAGGATTTAAGTTATGGATCTTGCAGAATTGGTTAATAATGGAATAAGTACGGCTATTTTTTTTAATCTATAATATTTACAGTATTGCACTTTACTGCACTTAATTGCATCTCACTAAAATTAATGCTGCATCAGTATTATGCCTTAAAACCATATGTCCATCTTTGTTGTATAATTCATTCTTTCTACATCCTGTAAAACAGTGAGAGTCTGATTCAAAGATCTAGGCATTTGGGGGAAAAAATGAAAAACTGACCAGTTTCTATGGCACAATACATCTCTTTGAGTTCACGTAATTCTGGCAAACAGGTGCATTTCTTATTGTTCCCATCTTTCAAGTTATCGCTAACAATTAGTAAATTCTAGTCTCTTTTTTTCTCCTTTCAAAGGACATAGCCATTTGAGACACACACTTTTTTGTTATTGCTGCTCTTTGTTTTTTTTTTTAGGAAAGAAAAGAAGGAAAATAAAAATCTGCCTTGCCTCAGATCTGAAATTCCACATTTAAATTCAAACCAGTTCTGCAGCAGCAGCAGCTCCTCAGTGATGGAAGAGATTCATGGCAGTGAAATAATACTGTTGGCAACAAAGAAATGTCATCTTTAATGGAGACCAGCCCCAAGGATTTATTATTTATTATTATTACTATTTGTTTTGTTTAGTTTTGTTCTAATATATTTCTGATCTTCAAAACGTGTTTAGTTTGACACATGCACAAGGTAGCAAAACTGACAGCAGCAGATGACGTTATGCCGGAGCGATCACTTTTGCCAGGGTCAAAAATCCAAAGTGTCCCCAATGTTCACAGATTAACATAATTTAGAGATCGTTTCCTTTTTTTTTTTTTTTTCTCTTTTTGTGATTTTTTTTTTTAACTCTCTTTTCTCTCTCCTCCCACCTACTTTGTCCTCCGAGGAGTCTCTGACTGGCGGGTGCGTGTTTGCTGCTGGCGTGTGTTGTGTCCGGGGCCCCGCGGCGGGCGGAGCGTCCCCACCGCGCCACGCGGCACCTCCCGGCCGCCGAGTCCCTGGGGCCGGCCGGGCCAGCGAAGCGGCGCTCGCAGACCTCGGGGAAGGGGAAAGAAATAAAAACAAAACACAAAAATAAAATAAACCAAAAAAGAGATAAGGCGGCAGGGCGGCCGGAGCGCTCGCTCCTCGCCCTGCAGCCAGGGAGGAGGAGGAGGATGAGGAGGAGCGGAGGGGCAGAGCGGCGGTCCGTGCGGGTCACACGCCCGCCCGCCGCGGGCACCCGGGGCGGGGTGTGATGGGGGGCTCGGGGCAAGCGTGTCAGAGCCCCAGGGCCTCGGCGTGCTTCCGGGCCTTCAGCCGCAGGTCGGCGATGCTGGAGTTCTTGCTGTTGCTCTTGGCGGCGGCGGCCACCACGGCGGCGGCGGAGGCGGACTCCGCCAGGGAGGCGATGGGCAGCCCGAAGGGCGGCGGCGGGAACATCAGGTAGGGCGCGTGGGCCGCCAGGTGCGGGTGCAGGTGCGGGTGCGCGTGGGCCACGCCCTCCAGCTGCAGCTGCGCCTGGACCTGGGCGGCGGGGCAGAGACACGGCGTCAGCCCCGAGCCCAGGGACACACGGACACACGGACCCCCGGGACACGCATCCCCAGCCCCGACCCTTCCCGGGAGCCCGGCGGATGGAAAGACCAACTTGTGAGCGGAGTGTCCCCCGCAATCAGGGCGGCAAACCTCCGCTCCTTGCTCAACCGAGGGCATAGAGACACGCTTAACCATCCTCCTGGTGGTTTTAAATAAATAAATAAATAAATAAATAAATAAATAAATAAATAAATAAATGCGGCCCAACGCACGGGCGCCAACAAGTGCTAAATAGCTAATTTTTTTCTTTTTTTTTCTTTTTTTTTTTTTTTTTTTCCAGGGATGTTTATTTATACCTTGCTAAAAACTCTTTGGCCGTGGGTCCCTGCTATACCCGGCTAGTGTTTGCTTTGGAGCTTTCTAGACCTACACAAACACATTGGGTTGACTGAGAGATTTCAGCTTCGGGTAGGTTCGGGGAGGAGTGGGGGAGAGTTTATTTATGTATTTAATTATTTTGGTCCAAATATGTCTTTTAAAAATCAATACAATTAATCTGTCAGCTCCACGTGTCTCCGAGATGGAGAAGGTGGTGGAGGGTCCCTTTGGGCTGGAAAAAAATCAATTCCCCGATTAATTGACAAAAAAAAAAAATAGAAAGAAAAGAAAAAAAAAGAAAGAAAAATAAAATACCGACGGAGGAAGAGTTACAACCGGCTAGAAGCGGAATGGAATTTCATCGCCCTCGTCCCGGTTTTCCCCAGCGGCCTTCCCCGGGTGGCTGCGCCTCGCTGGGGCACGGACCCGGCCCCGCAGTGGCGTCGGAGTCTGCGCTCCGCCACTGCCCCTGTCCTGGCTGGCCATCAGGGTGGCAAAGCATTTGGGAGCAGGCTCCCCACCTCCGGGGTGGTCACATCATCGGAAAAGGACCGGTCTCAACAGCCCGCCCGGGAATGAGGAGAGGAACGCAAGGGTCCGCATAGTGTTTCCCCCTCCTGGTTTGGCCCAGCGGGTGGAGGAGCCGCCCCCGCCGCGCTCTCCGGGCCGGGAGGAGCCCAAAGTCCCCCGGGCTGCTCGGACCGAGCCGGGCCGGCCCTCAGAGGGCGGGCGGGCTCGTCCGGGCACTGCCGGGCCCGCCCCGCCCGGGGAAGGCGCTGCGGCCCCGGGAGCCCGGTGGGGTCTGCGGGCGGCCCCGGGAGCCCGGTGGGGTCTGCGGGCGGCCCCGGGAGCCCGGTGGGGTCTGCGGGCGGCCCCGGGAGCCCGGTGGGGTCTGCGGGCGGCCCCGGGAGCCCGGTGGGGTCTGCGGGCGGCCCCGGGAGCCCGGTGGGGTCTGCGGGCGGCCCCGGGAGCCCGGTGGGGTCTGCGGGCGGCCCCGGGAGCCCGGTGGGGTCTGCGGGCGGCCCCGGGAGCCCGGTGGGGTCTGCGGGCGGCCCCGGGGCCGTGTGCCAGCCCATGGCACGGCGGCGGAGGGCCCTGAGCCCCGCCGGCGCCTCCCGGGCCGCGGGACCCCCCGCTCCGTCCCGAGCAGCGCTGAGCTCCCGAAAGCCGGGCGGGGGCTCCTTCGCGAAGTTTTACAGCCTGTTTTTAATACGTGCCAACTTCTATATAAATGGCACTTGTAAACGTGTCCGGCTTCCTCCCGTGCAAACGAATGGGGGTCGGAGCTTGCTGGGGGAAAGTAAATTAAAACCGGAGCTAGCTACCTGTTGGAAAGGCATCCTCAGGGCTCCCATATTCACATAGGGGGCTACTCTGCAGGCGTCTAAATGGCTGGCGGTTCCCAGGATCACACCTGCGGAGAGACACAGGGCCGGGTGAGAGGCGAAGGCGCCCCGGGGCTCCAAGGCCGCCAGCCCCCGGCCGGTCCGCACCCCTAACCCACCTTTGTGCATCTGGTTTTCCTGCTTTCGGCACTTTGCTCTCCTGTTCTGGAACCAGACCTGTGAAAAGAAAAAGCAAACAAAAACAAAACAACAAAAAAAAATGGAGGTGGCCCAGGCAGCTGCTGAGGGAGCATTATCTCAGGAGCTAGGGATGGAGGGGTGAGGCCAGTGACTGCACAGCTTTGCTGAGGTCTCCCCTCGGGAGCAGTCGAGGGGATGAGCTCGGCCCCAGGCGGAGGGAGCCCCTCTCTGTGCTGCTGAGGGGCTGTTCTGGGGGAGCTCCTGCTCCTTGTTGTGGTCCCTCAGTTGAACCCAGGAGTTGGACAGCACTCTCGCAGAGGGAGAGACCGGGAGCCTGCCGCTCGGCACCGGTCCCGGAGGGCCCCGTGTCCCCTGGGCAGGCAGTGGCATTCCTTCTGCCACCCGTCTGGAGCGACACTTACAGTAAGACCACCCGCAGGACGGAGGGGACACTCGTACCCTTCCCAGTCATCCTAAACAGCCCGGGAAGAGCCAGCGTGGGCCAGGTCAGACTCCGGGGTCTGGCCCCCAAGAGACTGGAGCTCCTGCCCTCTCCCGAGCTGGGCTTAAAATCGATGATCTCTGACAAGATGCGAGACGCTCAACTTTCGTGAAAGGGTCTGAATCATTCCCCGTTCCCTAAATGTTAAAGAAAACAAAATCCGCTTCTGCAGACCTCTGGCCAGACAAGAGCAGCATCTTTTGCAGGCTGGGATGTAAAGAAGTGCTCCTGCCCCTACCCGAGGAACGCCTGTAATCCGATAATGCTTCCCCAATTCCAGCCGTTCTCACTCAAACAATCGAAGAACTTTGCAGTTGCCACTGCGCTTCCCGTGCCTCTTTTCCAGGGGCATTTCAGACTTTCATTACTTTTCCCCTTCTGCCGTCCTCGATTAACAGCTCGCCCCAAAACATCATCAGAAACGCGGGCCAAAATATTTTGCGGATCCTTATCTTTACACCAAAACCTACCGAATATGGACAAACATTGACTTTCACCGCTGATAAAATCTTGTGGCTAAGTAAACACCTACAACCTTTGATGTTCTTGCACTTGCCAAGACATCATACGGTTAATTAATACTAACTGCACTTCCTACATCAAATTTTCCCTTCAAGCTTTCTTCAATTGCCTTAATGATGGTCATTTACAACGGAGTAATTAGTGCAAAGAAAGGCTTCCGAAGGCATTAATTACCTCGGGTACCTCAGTGATTTTCTTAAGTAGGAATTGGCCTTCTCTGATTTAGCGCACCATTTCTCCTGCCTAGGGTGTCTGCGGGGGAAGCGCGCAGCGGGCGACTGCGGAGCGCAGCGGGTGCGGACAGACAGACCGACGGACGGACAGACAGACAGACAGACAGATAGACAGACAGACCAGACCCGACCCACCCACCAGTCCTGGTTCCTGTCCCTGATGGCTGTCGCCAGCTCAACCCTCCCCGTGCTAAGCGGGCATCGCTGCCGCCCCGCTGCCCTGCGCAGCACAGCGCGGCACAAGCACAAGCCTATTTTTCCCTACCAGCAACACGCAAATATTAGCAACATGCATCGCTTCTCCTTTTTACTGGACCGTTAGGGATTTATACACATGTACAGATGTATTTAAATATAAGCATGCAAAATATTATCGAGCTGTAGCGACAATAATACATCTTCTTTTACTGTGGTAAATCCTTGCAGGAAATCTCCTTGTATGTATTCCCCATGCCCCCCCGCCTCGACAAAGCAGTGTAAATTGTCAGAAGAAATTTAAGCAGCGTTTAAACAACTTCTCTTGCAAATCAGAACATCTTTCAAACCGAAATTATATTTAAATCTGGAAAACGAAGTGGCCTTTCCCTTTAGCTACGAAAAAATAAGGTTATGAGGAATAAAAGTGATGAATTATCCACTGCATTAAGCGATAATAAATCAGGCTTGGTGTGATTCGCGATCAATTCCAATTAGTCATGAATATGCTAAGTAAAGCACAGTACACTGTTTTAGACAGTTATTTCTTCATTAAGGATCACTCAGTGATTTCTTTCACAAATGCTCTAATCTGATTTCCTTTTGATTTCCATTAGAGACAGTGAATAATGACATTTAATTTAGCCCTGCACCATAAACCCAAAGATATTTGTTGTAATTGAATTACTGCCTGCTCCTCACTATGGTCTCATAACTTTCAATTATAACCCTGACAGCTGGGTGATATGAGTTTCCAGTACAACACTAAAAATAAAAGGTTAATAAGGACTAGCTACCATAGGAGCTTCAATTTATTTACAGCAAATTTCCACGCTAAATTGAAACTATATCCTTTAACAGCAAGGGACAAGAGGTTCAGATAGGAATTAGAGAACAATTCTGAAAGTATTAGGGGGGAAAAAAAATAAAAAACAAACCTTTCCCTTTTCTGCCTTTTCCTTTTTTTTCTGCTTCTACTTATTGATGGATATTAACTCTGTGCTTATTTCCTAATTAATTATCCATTTTCCCACTTTTTCCCTTTTATACCTATTTTATGTATAAGGATTTTTTTAATCCACACAAACCTCTTTTATAAAATTAATAAATACATTTTTTTTAACCTCAGTCATAATCTCCTCCTGATTTTTTGCAGGGCTTTTTTTCTTTTATTCTGTATGTGTGTGCTGTTTTAAGATCTGTAAGCACTTGAAGCACCAATTTTCCTGTAACTATGAACATCCTGTTAAGGTGCTCCTCAGTAATAAAGTACTTGAAAGAAAGAGTGCAGAATTCAATTACAAGTAATTTATTTTTATAGAAACAGTACATCAAGGCCTTGGAAAGATATTACAGAGCCCAAGTAAGAAGATCTGGGAAGATGACATAAGAGTTGATGTCCCCTTCAGCAAAAGTTTAATCTTTTCATTAATTTATATGGTGTGGTTAGATCAATCTTCCAGGAGAAAGTAGGCCAGCAGCACTCTGAACCCCTGCAATATTCCCTGCAAGCTGCCATTCCTAAGGCGTGTGCCCGGCACCATCCCTTGCCCTGCTCGGTTTGTACTGAGACTCAGAGGAGCTCAGGGGAGAGTAAAACCTTAAAACCTTGAAAGAAGAGGAAAGAAGAGAAAAAAAAAAAAAAAAAAAAAAAGAAAAGAAAGAAAAGAAAAAGGGAATGAAAGCAACTTAGGTACTTCATTTATTTCAGGATCTGCCTCCAGGAGACAATTGTTTAAAGCGAGGTAGTGGCTTGCTCAGGCAAATGCTGGCTGAGCAGTGTGCTGTCAGCTTGCCTTCCACACCTAAGGAGGGGCTCCAACAGACCCCTCTCCCCACTCCAGCTCGGGGCCGTGTTTCCCCACTTCCCGCCGTGCCCCGGGAGTGAGGTCAAGGCATGGAGCCTCCGTCTCTGCCCACAGAGCCATACCCTGCCCATGTGCAGCTACCCGCACACTCCTACCCACAGGTATACGTATACATGGGCATCTCTCATCTCCAGGGTGTCAGGGCGTTTTGTTCAGTGGAGGGGTTGCCTTGCTGACTTTTTCTTTTTGAGTTTTAGTTTGGTTTGTGTCTGTTAGGCCAAGTATAGAATTTTAATCCAAGAAGAGATTTCCTTCAGGTTTCTCCCGCTCTGGGCCTGCTCAGAGAGCCACAGGTTGATCTTATTTTTTCTAGGTAGATTTTTTGTTAATTATTTCTATGTTGGGGTTTTTTGTTTGGTTGAGGGTTTTTGTTTCTTTTAATATGACATCTGTTTTGTGGAAGCATTCCCTAGTTGGCTTGGGGGAAGAGGGAGTATTTTTCCTCTGCATCAAACTGAAAATCAAATTTTAAAATAATCGATGTGGAGCCACCCAAACAGAGAGCTCTGGTGGCCCCAGGACTACAGCAACCCGGATCTATTTTCAAGATTTCGAAGTCTAATTGGCATTTAGCTGTCTCTGAAGTGGGATGGGAGGGACGGGGGGAACCTCCACCAGATGGGGTGGCATGCATTCATACGCTTGCTGTGCGAATCAGAGCCGGCACCTTTCCCCCGGCTCTGGCTAATCCCGTCCCTCAGCACTCAAACTGTCTAGCCTTATTCAGGCGATTGTTTTCTGGCCTTTTCCTTTTTTTTCCCCCATAATGGCCCCATAATAGAAAAAGCGGGAAGAAAATAAGGATTAAGGGAGAGTAAATGGCACGTTTGCAAGGAGGGAAAAAAGAAATTAAAAAAAAAAAAGCAGTTGTTCAGTTATTAGAGACTTGTCAACACTATCACCACCCAACCACCCTACCCTACACATATACCAAAAAAAATTTTAAACCACCTTCCTAGGAAACGCTAGACAGGGGCAGATATTCCCAGAGCAGAATAACTGTTTGGCAGGACAGGTACAGCAGACTTGCAAACAGCTTTCCCATCACACGTGTCACCTCTGCCTTCACCTCCCCGTTCTGCATGAAACGGGGCACTGTGCTAGGATCCGCTGGCAGTTGGGAAGGGAGGCGAGCACATTTCCAGGAACAGAGCCTTTCTCTTACCTGAACCCTAGCTTCAGATAGTCCCAGCCTCTGGCTTAGTTCCTCCCTCATGAAGGCATCCGGATAGTGAGTCTCATCAAAAAGTCTTTCCAGCTCGTTCAGCTGCTCTAGTGTGAAATTGGTTCTGCTTCTCCTTTGTTTAAGCTTGGTCTGTCCGTCTTCATCTTCTGACTTCACATCTTCCCTCTTCTCTTTGCATTCGTAGATCCCTGCCGGGAGGGGGAAGAAGAAAACGACGCTGAGCCTCCCCTCGCACCTCTTCGAAATTCTCTCACACAGGGGTCTCCCTCCTCCCCTCTTCGTCCCCAAACTCAGCACAACTTGCGGGTGCAGCTGGCGGAGGGGGCAGGAGGTCCCCGGGCAGGCCCTGGAGGGCGAGAGGGGCTGAGCTGCGCTACAGGCTCCGCGCCGGGCCGGGGGCAGCTCGCCCCAGGGCCGGAGGGAGGAAGGGAGCCGCGCTGCCTTGCCTGTCTGGTGCCCTGTCAGGAAAACTGTACAGATACATATAATTTTATTTTCTTTCCAGGGTTAGGAGGAAGCCGCTGGTACGGGCAGTTCGGGGAAGGGGTGGTAGGAAAACCGCCGGCCCCCCGATACCTCCAGGCAGTGGGAAGAGGTGGGGGAAGGGGGTTTCTCCGGCGACGTTTTCTCCCAAAGAGGGTTGTGCAAGAAGCTCCCTACCACTGTCATTGTGAAGCCACGATGATAGTGTTTGTCTCGTAAAAGAAACTTTCCCTGGGCATGAGACAGAGACCGCCCGTCTGTCTCCTCCTCAACATCCCTCTTTCCCCCAGAATACCTGCCAGCGGCTCGAAACCCCGGGGGAGGCGGTCCCTGTGCGGGACAGCGGGCTCCAGGGCCATGGGTCACCCCCAGCCCCTCCGGAACAGCAGGAACCCTCCCAACCTACAGGGACTCCAACAGGGCTCTGCGACCAGAGGCAGCCGCTGAGAATGCTTGTCCCGGGCAGAGGGGAGGCTGTGGGGGCAGCGGTAAAACAGTTCCCCTTTTCTGTCTTGGGTAGGGAGATTTCTTTTGCTTCGCCATATTATTCCCTACGTTTTTATTATTATAATTTCCCCGCCTTTTCCTTAATGCCGGGAGGCCTAAGGCACTGTCCTTCTTTCAAACCCAGCTAACGAAAACAGGAAGGGATGCTGGAGCGAGGGACACCACTTTAGGCTGAACCGGTTCCCCGGGATCCCCTGCCTGCCTGGGGCGCCCGCCGGGTGCGCATCCAGCGGGGCACCAGCGGAGTCCCGGGACGAGCCCTCCCTGACTGCCTCCTTTGTCCTGCCTCACCTTCTGGGTGGTATGGATTTCGGGGGAGTCGCATCTGCGGATGATCCCGAATTAATTCCCTTTTCCTCACCAAGTACACAGGTATTATATACATGTATACGTATGTATACACACACAGAGAAATGTGCTCATGGACATATATTAACCTATGTACTTAGGAGCATCCCAAAATGCAAATTATAAACTGCAAATCGTTAGTTAGTTAAACGTAATAAAGCGTTCTGAATCTAGGCTTAAGTCAGGCCGGACCCAAGCCGAAGCATTCGTTTTCACTTCCAAAATGAAAACTGTCCCTGGCCGTGATCGTTCCTCCGGGCTCCGGGCTGATACTGGCTGCATAAAACTTTGGGGAGGGTCTGGCCTCCGGATGGGGAAATTCGCTGGCTGGTTTTAATGGCGTTTTGTTCTCATTTCTCCTGTAAAGGGAATCCCTATGAAAAGACGAGGGTGCTAACCCAGCAAATGCCTAGGGAAAATCAGGCGCGTTCAAAAGCTGTCTCTTTTCCGAGGCTACAGCATGTCCGTGATAGGTATAAAATATTAACTAGCATATCGGTGGGACTGAAATCACACGCCGGAATCAGTTGAAATTAGACTGAAACCTGGCATGAATTTAAACTGTCACAAGCATCTCAGCTCTTTCCAACTCCTCCCTTCCATCCCCACCCCCAGCCCGTCTCCGTAGATTAGATTAGCTAAATATACAAGTCAGAATTTCGATTCATGAGAAAAAGGGGAGAGTAGTAGAGGGGGCTTTTTCGTTCTTTCTCATTCTATTTTTAATTCCTGAAGCATGCCCTGCTTTCATTTTTTTTTTTATCATCTCCTGCATCGAATTATTCCCTTAAACTGAATCTCGTTTTTCAGTCTCTCGACCAGAGAAGGAAAATAAGCAGAGCTGAGTGGTACTGGCTTGTGCAGAAATATGGGTAATATTCGGGAGTACGGGATTATACCTCGTTCTTCTGTTTGGGGAGCAGGTAGAAAAGAGAAGGATATTAAATAAAAGTTTGGGCTGTAAATTAAATCTCCCAGTGTTATATTAAACAAGATCAAACAGTAGGAAACAGCTGAAAGGCTGGTTGTTGTTCCCCAACCTATTAACCGGTTTTTATTACCCCAAGCTAGCCAGTAGCTCCCCAGGCAGGTCCACCTGTCTAACTTGCCTAGAGACACTTTCTCAACTTTCTAATCCCCCCGTCCTTTTAATTCTCTCCTTCCCCTGTGAGTCTGTGCGGGATTTTTAGCTGTCTTGGTTTAAAATATATATATTTTTTAAATTGTCGTTGTCGTTGTTGTTGCTTAGAGAAGGGATGGGGTCGGCGGGGTGCCGTGCTGCCCCGGCCCAGGTGAGAGGGAGGACTGGCAGGGGACCGAGGGACCAGTCGGCCGAGCCGGCCGGTGCCTCTGGCCGCAGCGAGGTTCTGTCTCAGCGGCTCCGGGCAGCTGCCCCACAGCCAGGCTCCTCTCCTGCTTCTCGTCCCCGCCGGTCGGAGCCTCCGAGTAGGGACAGGCTGACCGACCCAAGACAAAATGTCCAGAGAGAGCCCTCTCCACCTCCCGCTTTCTCCCAGAACGAGCAGCAGCATCCTGACGGCCCGGAAGCAGGAAGAACAGGTCTCCCAAGGCATTAAAACTCCCCGGACAAGGTTTCCTCGTACAAAAATACACAGATAGAGACAAAAACGTCTGACGTGCTGCGCTGCCCCCTTCCCCCAGGCTAGAGAACGCCTAACGCACCGGATCGATTTCGGATGTGAACGGGGGCTGGCGGGGGGGCAGGACCGAAGTTGTGACTTGTTTTTCGCGGCTACGCTCACGTTGTGCATGCAGGAGTACGTGTTCCTAAGCCTGTGTTCCCGCCGCCGCGGCAGGCAAGCAGGCAGGCAGGGAGGCAGGCAGGGAGGCAGGCAGGGAGGGAGGAGGCGGCCGCCGCAGGGACGCAGGATGCGGGAGCGATCCCGCTCGCCCCGCCGGGGCCGCACCGGGGCCGCGGTGACCGAGCCGCCCCCGCCGCGGAGAGCCAGGGGTGGCCGCCGAGGGGACCGGGGCTGCCGGCGAGAAGCGCGGGGCGAAGGGCTCCCGGCCCTGCTCTTACCTTCCGCTGTCCTGCCCGTGTTGAACTCCTTCAGTTTGTCCTTGTCGCTCTCTACGTGGTCTTTGAAAAGATGCACCGGGCAATGGTTGCTGCTCTCGGTCATGTCCTGCAGGTTGGAATCAGAGTTTCCAAGCTCCCTAGAGCGAGCCAACCCACTCTCCAAAACTTCCCTGTACGTGATGGTCTCCTTCTTGTTGCCGCTGCCACTGCCGCTGCTGCTCTCTTTGCTTTTCTGGTCAAAAGATTTGGATACAAAAGCCGTAAGTTCTTCCATGGCTGCCCGGTGATCTTATCCACAGAGATCCACTTGTTTTCAATCGGAGATGTGGCCGTCCTCCGCACGCTGTTTTTGCACGTAGAAGATGGGCTGTATAGGGTTAGATCACTCCTGCTGTTATTTATGCCTTTCAATTTGAGATCACACTATTTATACATGGCTACCTCAGCCCAACCCCCAGCTCTCCCTGTCTCCAGCAATTACTGACTGCTCCATAGTCGCAGGCGGACTCCGAGCAGCTATCTCCCCCACCTCAGTCCAGCAATTGGCTTTCTTTTCATTTCATCACTCTTTGGCATCTTTGCACCTTGATTTAGGGAGGCAAAGAGGCAACAGCGAAAAAGAGGGGGAGAGAGGGAGACAGAGAGAGAGAGAGAGAGAGAGAGAGGGAGAGGGAGAGGAATAAAAGGGAGGGAGGGGGAAAGAGGAAAATATGAAAATAGGTATCTACATTCTGTAAATGGGTTGCAGAAATGAGAGTCGAGGAAGACTTAATTGATTTTAAGGACATCCTGTGCGTGGCAACACTGTGAGTAAAAACGGACCCACAGCTAACCAAATAACTGAGCTCCTGCAATTAATTGTATCGCTGTCAAGAGGAAAGGAAAATGAGTGTTCAATAAAAAGGTAATGAATAAAAAGCCGGAGATGTGCATTTTTTTGTAATCATTGGAAATTCTACCTGATTTGCTATTTAGCTAATTTATCTTAAGTAAACGGTGGAAATAATCGGCGAAACAAAAATGCTGTTTTAAAAGTGTTGCCTGTTCTGGCTGGCGGTGGGTGGGTGGGTGCACGGCGGGGGACGTGTGCTGCAGCTAAACAAGTTGCGAGGTGCCTCGGAGGTCCGTGTCGGTGTGTTCGGAGGATGTGGAGTGGGTTGTTTGGCTGTGGGGTATCCATAGGTAAGGAGTCTCTCCAAATGTATGTGAACGTTGCAGGATCTGTCTCCTTGTTTATTGTTACTATGTTGTCTGAAGGTACTGTAGGGGGAAATTAAAATCTAAAATGTTTCTCTGGATATCGAGCTATCCTGCTGCATGCAGCAGAGGGATAATTTGATAACATGGGACTGTGTACACGACAAACAGAGCATTAAACCTTTTTTTTTTCTTTTTTTTTTTTGCCCCAACGAAACATACCCTGCCGGATTTAACATAGAACTCGCAATAATTTTCCCACCTTGATCTTGGCAGGCTGCAGTTATTTTTGTTGTACTCCTGGAATAATTATTATTCTGTGCGCCTGAATAGCTGCCTGAAATTCGTCTCCAGATAACAGCGCCGGCATTTCCAGCGCCTCTCCGCACCGTTTGATCCCCATGCGGAGCCGACTTCCCAGCTATTTATTTCCGTCTCTTCTCCTCGGGTTTTAACGCGAAGGGTTTTTCGCTATTTGGAGGAATTTTGTCTTCTGGTCGTTTAGCTTTTTACGTCCTTCTCGTTCCCCCGCCTCGAGTTTGAGATAATCAGAGCTCATCATCACGCCACCCTCTGCTCTGAATCACAACCAAAGCAGGCTCCTTGTTGGAGCAAGGGGCCATTGTTTCTTTTCCGGGGGAGTGTGGGACTGTTCTGAAAATTAGCAGAACATTAAAACGCTAAAAATACATTTAATTAATCCAAAGGTGCCCCCAGCACCAGAGTTAACACTTCCACAGGAGGAGGGGGAAAAATAATAATCGAGGAAGCAATTAATAAAGAGCTTAAAAAAAAATCAATCTCCCCCTGTGCGAATTTAAAATGATTATCTAGCGGGCAAGGATTGATCATTTGATCTCGGCACTGCGGATATCCCTGACATTTATTATATTGTCGTGTCTCGGTGGCATCCTTCCTCCAGAGTTCGTTTAACAAGTGAGGGAGCGGAGGAAGCCTTACAACTTAACAAACAGGTCTTGTCATCGCAAACGCCAATCAAATCCGAGGCTCTAATGTATATCACACGGCACCACATAAATAATAAAGGCAAACGATAGACGGGGAAGTAACGTATGGCTGAGGAAAGATCCCGGCACGACACGCTGCTTGTGCCTCTCTCATGCGCGTGTAAGGGCTCGTAGAGGATTGTCGCCCAGGCTGGTGCGTGCTGTGAGGGTGTCACGGACACGCGGGGACACCGGCGCTCACTCCCCCGTGGGAGAGGCTCCGTACCAGGGCCGGCCCCCGCCGCGGAAACTTTTCCCATCCCTCGGCTCGAACGGCACCGATCCCCACCGTTCCCAGTCTCCCTCTGCCTCCCTCGCAGCCAGCAGCAATCAAGGATAAATATTTACTGACTCCGCGTCCCCAGCGCTGGAGAGGCGCGGTGCGCGTCAGCTTCCCCGAGCTGCCGGAGTTTGCACCAAGTCCGCCGGATCCCCCCTTTCCTCCCTCTCGCCCCCGTCCCGCTCTCCTCCCCGCAGCTCCCCCCTGCGCCCAGCCCCACGCCTGCAGCCCCCGCCAGCGCCGGCCGCGCTCCTCCCGGAGCCCCCGGGCGCCTCCTGCCACTGCCGGGCTCCTGCCCCCGAGGACAGGGGCAGATCCAAGCCTCCTCAGATAGAGGGGGGGGAAAGCTCTCCTGCCCGCTCCACATCCCTCCCTCCCTGCTTCCCAGCAGCGCCCGATGGGAAGGTTGGTTGGCTCCGCTTCCCGCAAGGCGCGGGGCACAGCTCGGCGCGGGGCAGCCCGCGGGGCACCGCCACCGGGCGGCCTCGACGGCAGCGGGGAGGGCCCGGGGGAGCCTCGCAGCCCGGGGGAACTTGCCTCAGACTCGCTCCGAAAGAGAAAAGCGAAACAAAGCACCGGAAAGGGAAAGGGAGAAAGCCGGGAAAATAACAAAAACAAACAAACAAAACAGGACCAGTGCAAAGCTCAACTCTCCTGGGGATCCGGCCTCCGCCCTGCGCCGCGGACCCTGGCGGGGCGGGCGGCGGGGGCGCGGAACCGCGGGCATTCCCGAGGGCGCGCACGGCCCGGTGCGCAGCGCGGAGCTCTGCGAGGGAAGCCGGGCCCGTCCCGTCCCGTCCGTCCCAGCGGCGCGGCAGGGAGCGACGGGAGGCGGGGAGCGCCCCCGGGCCCCCCCGCCTCTTTGAGCAGCCCGCGGGTTTGGGGGGACTTCGGGCAAGGTGGTGCAGGTGGGAACAAAACTGGGGGCAATTTTGTCCCCACTACAAACTTTGATGGCGGGTTCAGAGAGGAATTACCTTTATTGCTGCTCCTGATAAATGGGCTGGGGGGAGGGATGCAGGGAGGGATAAAGAGAAGCAGAGAGAGAGAGAGAGAGAGAGAGAGAGAGAGAGGAACTGCCGCCCAAATATTCCATTCTCTTGCAGGAACGGAACTCCTGGGACCCTGTCGCAAACCTAAAAAGTCACCAGCGCTCCTCGGCACTTCCCTCTGCCCGCGGCTCCCCGCGGCACCTGGGTACCTCTGTGCGGTGCCACAAGCCACCCCGCTGTCCCCGATGGCCCCTCGCAGGACCGCCCGTCAGCGGCACATTGAGGGCTGTCCCGACTGCCCGGCCCACCTGAGGGCACCATGCCCCAAATCCTCCTCCTCCTCCTGCCTCCCTACTGCCCCGGGGCAAGGACAGGAGCGCTCTGCCCGTCTGGGGGCTCCTAGGTGGACAAAAGGGGTGGCCCGTTTATTCTGCGCCTCTTCCTTTCCGCACCGCCGCCCCATCGGGGCTGATTGCTCCCCACGGAGCCGAGCCCGCCCCCCGGTGCCCCCTCCCCAAAGCGAGAGGGGGCATCTGCGAGCAGGGCAGGCAGCCTGGCAGCGGATAGTGCGGACCTTGGGCTGCAGAGAGAGAAGCGTTTATTTAGCGTGGTACCCATCCATGTGTCATTTTTTAATTCCTCTTTCAAAGGAAGCTCTTGACCATTGTGGTTTTTCTCCGAGTTAAACGAGAGGAATAATCATGAATGAGTTTAAACGTTGCATTAGCTTTAAGCATTTCCGAGGCAAAGTATTGAATTTCATATTTATAGGAGGAATTTACGTTTGTACATTTACTCGTGGTATGACGTAGGGCGAAACTGATTTCCTCCCACCCTCCCCCCTTCAGCTTATTTTGGTCGGAATGGGGCAAATAAGTAAGCAGAAAAATCATCAGTTTAATCCACGTTTTAATAAGCGCTGACCCGAAGAGCAAGATTTTGTTGAGTAGATAACTGAGTCCTCTCTCTCTCCATCTCGCTCCCTCCTTCCCTCTCTCTCTCGTGATTAATTCAGGGACTGTAATCATGGACATTGTACATCAAACCTTTCTGCTCACGCTACAGACTCCTGCAGATCTTTATTGGTTTACATGAAAGCGAGTAAACATATTTCAGAGGATGCCCTTTCAATCTGGCTCCATTTCCACAGCACATAATTCCAAGGACAATTTGTTTTAATAATAAGAATGGATGCAGTGTTAATGGTTTTCAATTTGTGTTAAAAAAAAAATTAAATATTTATAAGTATCGATCGAGGGTTTCAGGATTTTACAGACGTCTTAACACATTTCATAGATGGGATTTTTTTTTAATTTAGAAACCTGCGTCGTATTCTCTTTTATGCTGTTTATTGATTTAAGCAGCATCCGTGTCTCAAGCGAGAGACTAATAGATTTTCATTAAAATAGGCTCTCTTAATCCTGATTGTGAATGGATATGATTGATCCATCCAGCACACTACACATCTATAATATTAATAAAGGACATTATCATGGCAGGATTTGCTTTTCCGTCATCAGGGTACTTTTGTTTTTTCCCCTTCCTTGCAACCTTAAAGATTTATTTGGGAGCTGTAAAACAGCCCACAGGAGGGAGACGCTTTGAGAAGAATACATTTTTTATATTAGATTTTTTTTGGTGGTGGTTTCAGTGGAAAGATTTTTTTTTTTAATTTACAAACTGCTGTGGCAACATATGGTGAAAATTAAACTGTTTGCCCCGCAAATCTAATCTTAAAACATTTATGTTGAGTTTTATTTTTAGAAAAACATTTTTAAAGGAGAGGAAAACAATCTTG